GCTCCTTTTGGAGCCCACCCGCCCGATTCTTTCCTCCACTCGCCATCATCCGTCGCATCTGGGGTGGTCACCCCGTCGCATCCTTTCGACCCACCTTCGCCCGCCATCACCGGTCGCGCCAAGGCTGCGGCGTCGTGCGGCTGTGACCCGCTCGGGGGGGATGTTGCCGTGGCCCCGCCCCGGGGGTGGCTGCGCCGCACGCCTCGATTGCCGCCACGGTGCAGAGACGGAGCGGACTGGCAGGCAGGATGGGGGGGAACATCTGTTTTAGAAGAGGCGGGGAGGATCGAGGCTTTTGGACGTGTTTGACTGTTCTCGTGCCTCCAGCTCTGGCAACGTCTGCCCCCCCCCCCCCCCCCCCACCCAGGGGCCGCTGGGAGGGGAAGAAGGGGAGGGGCCAGTAGCAGCGGCAAGAGAGAGCTGAAGGCTGCGAGGAGGACCTGGAAAATATGTCTTGTTTCCGTCCGTGACCGCCCGCCGTCTGACAAGAGACTGCAGATGCTCCTGCTGCTACTGCTGCTGTTGCCGCTGCTGCTCCTTCCTCCCTCCGTCGTTCTCCGACTCGGACTCGTTATCCTTCAACCACCACCTCCTCCTCCTCTTCTATTCTTTTGCACTGGCCTGTCATTCGGTGAGATCCTGTCCTCCCTCCTCCCCATCTGCCTCTTCGTCCACCCTCCACCTTCTCCTCCTCTCCTCCTTCACCCAAAAGGGAAGGGGGATGGAGACAGGAGGGAAGGGAGAATGTCTCACCCTTTCTCAGTTCAACCCGTCATCTTCGCATGTGCGTAGAGTCGTGGCGGGGGGATGCAGCCCCTGCAAGGGGATGTTGGATGACAAATCAAAAACATGCAAAAACACTCAAACATAGCCAAACAATACTCAAAACATCGTTCCCAGTTTTTGTGTATTTTATGTGTGCTTATATATATATATATTAAAACACTATTTTTGTTTATTCCTCCTGTCGAGGGACAAGCCCGAGTCAGAGCTGTTACCCTGCGCCCTCCTCCTCGCAGCCGACCGCGAGGAGCACGGGGCGCTCCACGAGAGCGGCAGACGGGTGGGGGGCGAGCGCGGACGTCGCGCACGAGAGCGAGCAGGTAACCGAGGCACCGGGTCCGCCTGCAACACCAAACATCCACGCAGCGCACACAGTGCGTGCACGTGAGCTCCACGTGTGCCTGCGTCGAAACACAGCAATGGAGGCTGGCCATTCCACGAGAGACCTTCCAGAAGAAACCCGACCCCGAGACCCCAGGACGTCAACTGGTTCTTGGCGTGGGAGCGTCGCGCTCTCCATGGCAAAGCCACCGAAACCCAAGACATCCAGGGCACCCTGGAGGCAAGAAGGGTGTTTCTTGACATGGGCCCCCACTGTATCTGCGTCGAAAGAAGCCTGCTGAGCGCACGCTGAACGAACGCCAGACAAGCTGGGCATTGAAGGGGCCGCCCTGCTGCTGGATCGCGGCCATTCACCAACCCATCGCGGCCATGCCTCAATCAGGGTTATGCGGCTCGGAGCCAGCCAGTCGCGGGCCCTGCGCCTAGCAGCGTTGTGCGGCTCGGTCGGACACGGGAGGGCCTGGGAATCGAGCGTCGCCGACCCTCCGGCGACTCGGTCGCCGCACCGTCGGCAGACGACTGACGGCCCCGACCGGCGGATCCGATCCCCGTCGCACGCGCTTGCGCATCCGCCTCAGGGCCGGCAGCAGCAGCAGCCACGTTTCCACCTTGATGCGCCACTCGGGCTGTGCAGCAGCCCGAGGGGGAAACGAAGAGCGGGGACAGCAGCAGATACATACGCCCATTCTTTATGTCTAAAAATTCGGCTGCGTTGAGGACTGCGTCGCGATCCGTTCACTCCGAATCGCAAGAGCGCCTCGCTGTCACGCCACAGCGTGATCCCACACTTGGAGAGTATCCAGTCCCCCCGATGAGAACTGAGAGCGGGGCTCCGAAACTCGAAAGCAAGTCACCCCCTCGTTCTGGCGACTCCTGGCTAGACAGGCCACGCAGAAAATCCCAATATTGCCCGAGAGATCACCAAGTATCTAGGCGATCACAGAGAAATGTGAATCGGCATCAGTACCTGTCTACATCAAGGAAAGCAATGGGATAATGTTGATGTACCCCTAAGCCCCCCAACAAATTTTTGATTAAACGACGAAATCATGTTCACGCAAAGCCGCCCGATACGCTCGCTACGATCTTCGTCTCGTGGGCGAAGGACGGCGGGCGCGCGCAGACTGTCCCAAATGTCTTCAGGGCCTAAGAGCAGCTCGATCCCGTCGGTCTCCCACTCCATTGTGCTCAAGGTCCGCGTCTCGACGGGGAGTGTGTCCATGCAAGGCAGACTGGCCATGGCGTCCGCGTCCCTGGAATCCTCGCGAGCGTTCATGAACGCCGCGCTGAATGCAGTGAGCTGGCGCAAATCCAGATGGGCGTGCGAAGCTCTGAGAATCTCGTCTGCGTAAGCGATGGGCAGCCAGCCGCGCAAAGGGGACCTCAGAATGTTTCGAAACCGAATGTATACCTCCGACATCGTGCCGTATGACCTCGGCGATAGAAGCACTCGCCCAGACTCTCAGAAGCATTGCAGCCTGCATCAACCAGTGTCGATGGTGCAGTGCTCGGGGCCGCAGGGGCCACGCGATCAATGCCAGCTATGGGTAGCACAGCGAGACGAGGGAGCAGAAGTGCTTCACGAGGTACCTGATGAGTGCGGACAAACTTAAGGATGTGTGCGCTCGCTTGCATCCGGGCCTCACGCCCTGCAGCCAGCCGCCCGCGGCGCCAGCGGCGGCGCGAGCTCGGGCCACGGGCCCGCGAGCGCCGAGGGGCCACGCATCCCATAGGGCGGCCCGCGCACGGGGCCAGGCAGATGGCCGCCGTCATCGGGGGGGGCGCTGCGGCGAGTGAAATCGTCGCGACTCGGCGAGCATCATCCCCAGGCCGTAGGGCGGCCAGTTTGATCCAGGGTGGCCTCATACGACGAAACATTTTGCTTTGGGAGATCGATGGGCACGCTGGTCAAGCTCTGAACTTCCTCGGGAGTCCGAAGGCTTCTGTGGGCCCCCCTTTACGAACCGGTGATATGACATGTTCGTGGGGCACCGGCTCCCAGGTCAGTTTCTCATGTGACGTGCCTACTGCACTTTGTTCCCCACAGGGTATGGCGGTACCCTCGTCGCACTAGCGACGGTGACGGGATGTTCGACCTTACTCTGATCGATGAGACTTGAGCGTCAGGCGAATCCAGCCTGCTGTTCTCGAATATTGTGATGGCTCAACATGGAGTGGACCATGTACTGCCGAAGGGTGAGCATCCCCCCATGTGCGTTGACTTCGCGGGTAAACCTTCTGAGTCCATCAAGTTCGCTGGAACCCAGTTCCTCTTCATCGATGGCTCCGCGAGCTTCTCAGCGGGGCCTGCAGGGGTAATCCAAGCAATTGGCATTACGATCAGACAGCCCTTTCTCGGGGAACAACGCTCCTCCTCGATGTATTTTAACAAATGGACAAGGGAACGCACCGTGATCCAGCAAGTCTGGGCAGACTGCACGGCACTTCTCTCTGGCGGCCAGCGGTCGTCCTTGGACCGGCACCCTCCCCTGGGTGAGCATTGGCGTCTCACTCGTGCCATCCCGCCCAGGTGGGACACCAGCAAAGCTGCATCACATCGGAGCGAGAAGCAGGCAAGCAGTGAGGGCGAACATGTGCGGATGAGGGGAGTCGGTTTGCGGACTGGCAATCTGCAGCGGGCACCTCAGGAAAACGAGCTCAAGCCATCGGACGTCGACACAGTTCAGCAGGCGAGGGCCAAGATTACGTCCTTCGCTCTGGTCGCTGTCAAAAGGCTGGGCTTTTGGCCCAGCTGAGGAACTCTCCCGCAATTTTTACAAGGACGAACCTCAACATGAACATGACTTTCGGAGGTCCGTGCGGATTTCTCGGATCGGTGCTGGGCCACCTTGGAGATTTAGAAGCATTCCGAGGCCCCCCCCCGATTATACAGCGGGCTCGGCCGTTTCTGCAACCTCAGATCGCTCAACATCGATCGAGTCTGGGTCGCCAGCGGCATTCAACGCTGAACGCCGGCGGCGAGGTCGCCGCCGGTCGACACAACGCGAACCTACCGTAGGATAATTTCCAAAGGGATGTCTTCACCTGTGACGGGCTGCGGTGGCGATGCCCACGGTGCACTAGGCGGTTTTGAGATCCTTTGAAGACCCATGGCCCGACCGTCGCGCGTGGTGGGGGCCACTGGATGGTGAGGGGTTCAATGCTCGCTCCTTGTACACCGCTCGCGCCATCCTGCACCGCATCCCTGCCCTCTTTCGGGACATATGGCAAATTCGGGAAAGCCTGAACCCAAAAATGTTGTCATCTCTTTGGGGCGTATTCTCTAATTCCACCACCTTCCGCCGCCATTCCGCCAACTACCCCCAGCAGAGGCGGCCTCGCTGTACTTCCGCAGAACTTCCACCGCCTTCCGCCGAGGAAAAAATGGCGACTCCTTCGATCCGCGATGCCAAGGCTTTGTTCCAACGCCCCATAATGAGGCAGCTACCCAGCTGGCTGCGGGGCCTCTCCTCGGCAGGGCTCCCTGTTCACTGACTCGGGTGCGCCTCGAGGAAGATGCGGTGGGGAAGAGGAGGGACGGAGGGGAGGAGGAGGGCGGGGGGGACTGGGAGGAGGAGGAGGAGGAGATGAGACGAGGAGGACGGCGGAGCAACAGGGCGATGAGGAGGAGGAGGAGGAGGGAGGGCTGGGGGCGGGAGGAGCTGAGCGCGAGAGTAGGAGGGAGGGAGGGAGGGAGGGGGTCGGATCATCAGGGCAATGGGGGAGGAAGGAGGGAGCAAATGGGGCGAGGGAGGAGGAGGAACGGATGAGGGACGAGGACGGCCCGACCCTCTCTGACGTCCTGCCTGGCCCCCGGGCGCTCCTCCGCGGAGCCCGACTGGGGGCCCGCGCGCCTGCCCCGCCCCCCTCCCCGCCAGTCGCAGGAACTGCTGGCGCTGCATCCACTTCTCCTGCGCGGGGCGCGCGGGGGGCAGCGTGGTCGTCGTCGTGGTCGTCGTCGTCGTCGTCGTCGTCGTGGTCGTCGTCGTCGTGGTCGTCGTGGTCGTGCTGGCGGGAGGACCCTCCCTGGTCCATCCTGCCTCCAGCCTGCCTCCAGCCCTGCCTCCTCCTCGTCGTCGTCGCCCTCCCCCCCCTCCTCCTCCTCATCCTCCTCTCCCTCTTCCCCCCTCGTGCTGCTTCTCCTCGCCCTCTTCCTCCATCCTCGTCCCTCCGTCCTCGTCGACGAACTTCTTCTCGTCCTCCGCTTCCTTCCCATCCCCCTACATCCACTCTCGTCGACCTCTTCTCCTCCATCCTCCTCCTCGCCCTCGCCCTCCATCCTAGCTGTTCTCGCCCTCGCCATCCTTTTCCTCCATCCTCGCCCTCCTCATCTATCCTCCTCCTCATCTATCCTCCTCCTCCTCATCTATCCTCCTCCTCCTCATCTATCCTCTTCCTCCTCATCATCCTTTCCCTCCATCCTCGCCCTCCTCATCTATCCTCCTCCTCCTCCTTCCTGCCCTGGCCTGCCCGCCTCGCTCTCTCTCCCCATGGGGGGCACGATGAGGTCAGGCCGTCCACACACATCTGGAAATCCCGACGACGTCCTCCTCCTCGTCCCCGCACTTGCCTACCCCCCTCGGCCTCTTCCTGCAAGGGCAGAACGGCGCCTCTCCGCCCATCCTTCGCCTCCTCCAGCTCCTCCTCCTCCTCCTCCTCTTCCTCCCCCTCCTCCTCCTCCTCTTCCTCCTTTTTCCCTCCTATCAGCTACACGCACGAGTGACGCTAAGCAGAGGTGCCCTTTGGTGCGCGGCTTCAGGGGGCCCACGGGGGCTGTGGGCGGGGGGCAAATCCGAGCGCGACGGCCATTGCCGGGGGGCCCCCTGGAACAGAGGCCACTTTCTGGCGAACAATCACTCGGTGTGCGGGCCACAGCTCGGACCCCTGGCGCCGCTTGGGACGACTAGGGCACCCCCCGGAACGCCCTCGGCGAGGCGCAGCTGCTGGAACGCACCCCCGACGCTGGGCAACCTCCGGGAACCGACGAACACATTCGGTGGGCCGATCCTCCTCCTCCTCCTCCTCATCATCCTCCTCCTCCTTCTCCTCTTCCTCCTCCTCCTCCTCGTACTCCTCCTCCTCCTCGTACTGTTCTCCTCCTCTTGACGCCTGGGTCTGGCCGTCCCCAGGAGGGGGGGCGGGAGGGAGGGCCGGGTCTCCTTCCTGCCGTCGCTCTGCCAGCGCATCTCCCGCTCGAGGGCGTCTCCGAGGACGTCACGCGCGGGAGCGCCTCTCGACCGACTTCGGAAGCGCCGCGGGTGATGCTGCTGATGATGACGACGACGACGAGGATGATGCTGCTGTTGATGATGATGGTAACGGCTGTTCTTATTGTGATGACGATGGCGCTGACGCTGACGCTGACGACGGTGATGATGATGAGGATGCTGATGATGATGACGATGATGATCACGATGATGATGATGATGATGCTGATGCTGATGCTGATGATGATGTTCATGATGATGATGATGGTGATGATGACGATGATGCTGCTGCTGATGATGCTGATGCTGATTGTTATCTTGATTATGATTATGGTCATGTTAGAAGTGGCAATGATGGCTATCATGCCGATGGTGATGACGGCACTGCAGATGATGGTGATGCCGATGATGAGGATGATGATGATGCTGATCATGAGGATGTTGATGCGTATGATGATGCTGATGATGCATGTATCTGGTGATTACGATGATGATGGCGATAATGAGGGCTGTGACGATGACGATTGCGATGATGATGAACATGATGATGATGACGATGACGCGGATGATGCTGATTATGATGATGATGCTGATGATGATGGTGATGATTAGGATGATGATGATGATGATGATGATGCTGATGATGATGATGATGATGATGATGGTGATGATGGTGATGATGGTGGTGACGATTGTTCTTACTATCGTGATGCTGATGATGTCGATGATGGTGATGTTGATGATGACGATGACGCTGACGATGCCTATGATGATGACGACGACGATGATGATGATGATGATGATGATGATGGTGATGTTGATGCTGATCATGATAGTGGCGGTGATGATTGTCATGATAACGATGCTGATGGCATTGCTGAATATGACTACGATGGTGGTGATGATGATGCTGATGCTGCTGATGGTGACGGTGATGGTGACTAGGATTATGATGATGATGATGATGCTGATGATGATGATGATGATGATGATGATGATGATGATGATGATGATAATGACGATGGTGATGGTGATTCTGATAATAATGGCGATTCTGAGGGTGGTGACGATGACGGTGACGATGGACATGATGATGACACTGGTGCTGATGCTGATGCAGATGCTGATGATGATGATGAGATGCTGATGATGCTGCTGATGATGATGCTGATGCTGATGATGATGCTGATGATGATGATGCCGATACTGATGCTGATAAGGATGATGCTGCCGCGGATGCTTCATCCGCACAGCGTGGTGCAATTTGAAACGATATCCTGCGCCCTCTTCTGTCACTCGCTACGGTGACGTGACCTGGCCGGCGGAGCGACTGAACACATGTGTGCATGTATTGTTGTGTTGTGTATGTGTGCTTGAGCGCTCTTTGGCCGTCCGAGGGCCTCTGGAGGAGGCCGTCAAGGATCCAACGAAGGCCCCCTGCGGACTGCCAGAAGAGGGCGGCATTCTCGTCGTCGTCGCCATCGTGCAATCATTCTGCTACCAGAAGGGTACGCGAAAGGAACAACGACGGCGCTTTCTGGCCCCCCGAGGGCGCCTGGGTGCACGAAGAGCGCCACGAGGAACAACCATGGAAGGACCTCAGGAATAGCGAGTCCCTTCCGAATCCGAACTGGTCCTCATTTCAGCGTCTTGACTGTAGTCGTCGTCGTCGTCCTCCTCCTCCTCATCCTCCTTCGGTGGCTTTGGGCGGTCTGGGCAGCGGCGTGGACGTGGGTAGCGGCACCGTCGTCGTAGCAGTGGTCGTCGTCGCCGCATTCATCGTCGTCGTCGTCGTCGATCTAGGCTCGGAGATCGATGAATTGGACGTTCTCTGGACTTGTTGGCTCTCCAGAGGCCTCTCCGCTACATCCGAGGAGGTCTGTGGAGGTCGTCGATGTCGCCGTCGTCCTCCGATCTCCCCTTCTTCCCTACTCCGACGTCTTCCTCCCCCCTCTCTTCTTCATCCTCGTCGTTCTGCTCCTCGCCGTCCTCCTTCTCCTCCTCCTCCTCCTCCTCCTTCCCATCCTGCTCTTTACCCTCTCTCCTTTTTCTCCTCCCTCCTTCTTTTCCTCCTCCTCTTCCTCCGCGAGAGGGGGGAGGAGGACGAGGACGAGGAGGGGTGATGGAGGAGGATGCGGGAGGATGGAGGGGGGGTGGACGAGCGGGGGATGGAAGAGGGGAAGAGACGGAGGAGGGGAGAGGAGAGACAGGCGAGACACGCTAGCTGAACTCGCACCACTTCTGATATCCTGCCCCTTCCGCTCATCCCGATGGCCGATGAGGGTATCCTGGATGACCTTGATGTCCAAATGGAAGTTGCAAGGCTTGACCCACAGTTTGCGGCGCAATCGGAAAGGGGGTTGTACATTGGAGGAGAAGGGGGAGAACGACCAGGGGAAGGATGCAGAAGATGATGCTGAGGAGGAGGAGGACGAGCAGGAGGACTATGATTATCAAGGGAAGGCGGAGGAGGAGACAGGAGCGGGGCGGCACCGGTGAGGAGAAACTTGGCTTCAGAGAATGTGGCCCGCGCTGGAGAGGCAGCGTTCCTCCTCCTCCTCCTCCTCCCTCTCCTCCTCCTCCTCCTCCTCCGCCTCCTCCTCCTCCTTCAGATATTCAGCGAGGGAGCGCAATCCAGCACGACGGGAGCAACGCACATGTCCCGAGATGTGCGGCCGCGCGGGTGAAGAAGCCACGGCCGTCGGACGTCTGGACGGCACCCCTCCAGAGGTCCCTGGAGGTCCCCAGAGGCCTTCCGAAACACGAGAGACGAAAACACGGCACACGCACAAATCCGTGCACGAACATACAATCGGACCTGGGCCAGAAGAACACCCTCCAAAAACATGAGAACCTCCGCCGGCCAAAACACACAGAGCATTTGAGGGTACCCTCCCCAGGGTGCACGAGAACATCCAACAGCCACGAGGAACATCAGGGTACCCTCCCCGAACAGACCTCGATCTTATACCTCGGTCCGACTGTACAAACGTAATGGGTGCTCGAACCTCGACGATCAGAAGTGACATGCCCCACCTCGGACGTTGCGCGATTTGTTTGCGACGTGGGCCTTCGACACCTTCCCTGGGGCCGCCCGACATCCTGGACTGCTGCCGTTTGACGGCCTCGAGGATGGGAAAACGGCCTCGAGAAACGACAAAGGCACGCCCTGGTCTGAGGACGCATGGGCGGAAGCATGCGCCAGACATGGTATGTCTTGATGTTTCTTTGCGGCGTTCCCGCACACCCCAACCCTTTTTTCGTCCTGGATCGCCTCTTGACGGTCTAGAGGCCCAGCGAGGGCTCCCGAAAACGGCGAAGCACCTCCACATCTGCGCTGAGACGTTGGCTGTCTGGAGCCCCAGAAGTCCTGCACCCACCCTGGGGCGGCTCTCGGAGCGAGCGGGGCGCGCATGCCACTGGCGCGCCGCGGCCGTAGCGCGCCGTCGCCGTCGCCGTCGCCGGTGCCATAGTCGTCGTCGTCGTCGTCGTCGTCGTCGTCGTCGTCGTCGTCGTCGTCGCCGTCGTCGTCGTCGCCGTCATCGACGTCGTCCGGCAGCGCCGCTGCCACCGCCGGCGCCGCGCCGGCGGCTGCTCTCCGCAGTTGAGCAGGGACCGACCGTACTGGCATTCCTATAGTCCTACCACGACATGCTCGTAGAACCCAAAAGTGTTCTGAGAACAAAAACAGTGTTCTTAGAACATAAGCCCGATGTGCTAAAACAAGACAGACTCACATGTTCTAAGAACTTTTCGTGGAGACCGCAAGAGGTTCTCATAACATTGTCTGGTGGGGCTTTAGGCGAACCAAGACGCTTGGCCACTGCTCGACGCAGGTCGGCCGGGGGGGCCGGCGGGCCGTCGGAGCCGTCGTCCCTGCGGTGCCGGTCGAAGTCCTTCTGCAGGCCCTGGGGCGACGGGGCGCCCGGGGAAGCAGCTCGCGCCCGCGGCGCCAGAGGGGGGCCGAGAGAAGACCCCACGGGCGGCCCGCGCGGGCCCCCGAGAGGCGCCCAGAGGGCCCACGACGGCTGGGGGGACACATGTGTGTGTGTGTGTATATATATAGATATATATATGTAGATGTGTGTATATATATATGTATGTATGTATGTATGTATGTATATATATATATAGATATAGAGATATATATATATATATATAGATAGATAGATAGATAGATAGATAGATAGTCCAACAACTTGGTAAGACTTTGGCCCCCGAGTCTGGCTACAGATGGGAGACGAGAAGACCCCACAGGCGGCCCGCGCAGGCCCCCGAGAGGCGCCCAGAGGGCCCACGACGGCTGGGGGGGCATATCCACCGGCCTCCTCGTGGGGCCACCAGGCTGTAGGGCGAAGGTTCGCAGTTTCCTGTGCCGGCTGCAGCTTCCAGCTTCCACTGTTACAGTTGTGCTTCTTGCTGCTTCCTGTTGCAGTTCTGCTTCTTGCTGCTTACTGTTCCTTGTTGATGGACCGCGCGAGGGGGGGAGGCCCACAACGGGGATTTTTGCCATGCCCTGAACGTGTGCTCTGAATTGCTGGGGTGGGTAAAAATTGACACCCCTCACGCAGATCGGCGGGGTAAGGGTCCAAAAACACAAGAGATTTGCAACGTTTCTGAAATTTGCTAGCACATCTCACGCAGATCGGCGGGGTCAGGGTCCAAAAACATATGGATTTGTTACATTTCTAAAATTTGCTGGCACCTCTCACGCAGATCGGCGGGGTCAGGGTCCAAAAACATATGGGATTTGCCACATTTCTGAAATTCGGTGGCACCTCTCACGCAGATCGGCGGGATCAGGGTGCAAAAACATATGGGATTTGCCACATTTCTGATGTTCGGTGGCACCCCTCATGCAGCTCGGCGGGGTCAGGGTACAAAAACAAATGGGATTTGTAAGATTTTTGACATTCGGTGGCACCCCTCACGCAGGTCGGCGGGGTCAGGGTCCAAAAACAAATGGGATGTGTTGCATTTCTGATGTTCGGTGGCACCTCGCATGCAGATCGGCGGGGTCAGGGTCCAAAAACAAATGGGATTTGCCACAATTCTGAAATTCGGTGGCACCTCTCACGCAGATGGGCGGGGTCAGGGTGCAAAAACACATGGGATTTGCTACATTTCTGACATTCGGTGGCACCCCTCATGCAGATCGGCAGGGTCCAAAACACATGGGATTTGCAACATTTCTGACATTCAGTTGCATCTCTCATGCAGATCGGCTGGGTCAGGGTCCAAAAACACATGGGATTTGCCACATTTCAAACATTTGCTGGCACCCCTTACGCAGATCGGCGGGGTCAAGGTCCAACAACATATGGGTATTGCCATTATCTGAAATTCGGTGGCACCTCTCACGCAGATCGGCGGGATCAGGGTGCAAAAACACATGGGATTTGCCTCATTTCTGAAATTTGCTGGCACCCCTCACGCAGATCGGCAGGGTCAGGATCCAAAAACACATGGGATTTGCCACATTTCGGACATTCGGTGGCACCCCTCACGCAGATCGGCGGGGTCAGGGTCCAACAACACATGGGACTTGTCACAATTCTGAAATTCGGTTGCACCTCTCATGCAGATCGGCGGGGTCAGGGTGCCAAAACACATGGTGGGATTTGTTTCATTTCTGACATTCGGTGGCACCCCTCACGCAGATCGGCAGGGTCAGGGTCCAAAAACACAAGGGATTTGCCACATTTCTGACATTCGGTGGCACCCCTCACGCAGATCGGCGGGGCCAGCGCCCAAAAACATATGGGATTTGCCACATTTCTGTAATTTGCTGGCACCCCTCACGCAGTTCCGTAGGGTCAGGGTCCAAAAACATAAAGGATTGGATTTGCCACACTTCTGAAATTCGGTGGCACCCGTGACGCAGATCCGTAGGGTCAGGGTCGAACAACAAACAGGTCCCGACACTGCTTCACGGCGGCGCCCAGACCTTATGATTTAGCTGTTGCATCTCCCATTATCCGAGACAAGGGGCCAGCGGCATGGGGCGAAGCCCTCACGGTACACACACATACATACATATATATATATATATATGTATATAATCCAACAACTTGGTAAGACTTTGGCCCCCCGAGTCTGGTTACATATGGGAGAAGAGGAAAAGCCCGTCAACATACACTTTTGGCGCTCCGCGAGGATTTCTTGGATCTGCGTTGGACCCCCCTCCTTGGCGCGCGGAGCGCGCCAGGGGCGGCGCTGGAGGCGTCGCCGGGGGGGCCCAGCGCGGATCCAAGAGATCCGCGCGGAGCGCCAAAAGTTTATGTTTACGGTTTTTCTTATGCGATACATAGGAGCTTCCAGGAGTCGGCGGCGAGCCCGGAGGGGAAGCGAGAATGGGCCAGGGACTCTCACACGGCTCGGAAGTTCCCTGGCCCTCTGAGAGAAGTTTTGTAAGCCTCCTTCCGAGAGGGCCTTCTCCTTCTCGTTTCCTCGCCCTCGCTCGCGGCCGAGAGTGGGGGCCGATTTTCTTCCCCCACTCCACCACTCCTCAGAAGGCTCGGAAGTCCCCCGGCCTTCTTTTGAGAAGCTTCCTGAGCCTCGCCCGAGGAGACAGAAACCTTCCCAGAAGGCGCGAGGGCCTCTGAGAAGCCCCGCCGCCTTCTGAGAAGGCCTTCTCCCCGTCAATCCCTCCCCTCGCTGGTTCGCCGCAGGCGTCGCTAGATAGCGCGTTCCGCTACTCGCAGAGTAACTGCTCGCAAATGGCCTGGACCCGCCATGGGAGATTTACGATACACTACATCGATGCAGACATGTATTTTCCCCAATGAATGCTTGCACTGACGGGGTCCTGGCCAAGTGAAAGATTTGGCGGGAATTTCCCGCCGATTTTGGTAGCAAACTGGGGTCCCGGGTTCCCGGTTCTGGGTTCCCGCGAATTGGTTCCAGGCCGATTTCGGTGGGTTCTGGGCTCCCGGGCTCCCGGGTTCCGGTCGACCTCCTCAGCGAAAACCATCCACTGATTGGGGCTTTTCTCTGGTGTTTTTTTTTGCTTTGCTCTGACGTTTGCGAGTGGGCACTGTGCGAGTGCTGCCACGCGCGCGGTTCGTCCCCGAGAGGGCGCAGGCGTTGCTCGCCACCGGCGCCCCCCAGGCGGCCCTCTCTGTGGGCCGCCGCTGGCCGCCGCAGCAGCGGCTCGGGCCGAGGAGGCCGCCGTGTGGGGGGAGGGGGGCGGCCAGGAGCTCCAGGCCGCGCCGCGTTCTCGCTCTCCGAGGGTCCTCCGTGGGGGGGGAGGGTCCTCAATTGCGATGGCGATGCTCTGTGCTGATTGGGGACGGCCTCGACCGTGGCCACGGAGGTCGAGAGACCGTCTGTCGTAGTTCGGGGATTCCACGATCACGATCGTGGGGCCTCGGCCATCCTGGACTCACGGGTTTTGTCATGTGACCATTCGCCGAACCTTCGGGCACTTTTGCAGCGACTCTTGCACCTTGCCATGCCGCTGTGTGCAACTAGGGCAGGACGCCCACGGCCCTGCCACTTATCACGGTGAGGGTATTGGAGAAGGAGTCATTTGAAAAGGAATCCGGGGCCTGAAAGCTGACGGAACACCCATTGAGGCTTGGCCATGGATAGTGATAGTTTTTTTACTCATTGTTTTGCCAACCGGCGCGGGCCCTCGCAACCCCCCCCGGAGTGGATCTTGGCTGTTTTTTGGCGCCTGCTTCGAGCAGGTGGAGCCTCCCTCATAATGGACGCCCTGTTGCAAACAGTCGCACCAAGCAGAGGTCCGGAGCCAGACCCCCCCCCCCTTCCGCCTAATGTCGAAACGCCGAATAAAAAAACGCTCACATACCAGCACCGCCCGCATCAGATAAGGAATACTCCAAGGTCTGAGGCCTCCTGGGCACATTTGAGCAGGGACCGACCGTCCCAGCATTCCCATAGGCCTACCACGACATGCTCTTAGAACCCCAAACAGTTCTAAGAACAAAAACAATGTTCTTGGATTATAAACCCAATGTGTCAAAACAAGGCAGCCCCAGCCAGAAATGTTCTCAAAACATCTCGCGCGAACCACAAAAGGTTCTTCGAACATTCTCTGGTGGGCCTATAGGCGAGCCGGGACACTTCGCCACTGCTTGACGCATTCCTTGGCCAACGGCCCCCCCCCCCCCACCGCAGGTGGGGCGAGCAGTGGGCTCTGCCCTGGCTGGCGATCCACAGTGGTCCTGGGTGAACAGCCAGTGCCAGCTAGTAGCTAGCCAGTGTTGGGTCGGGCCTGTCCCTCTACAGGGGGACTATTCAAAAAACAATCAAAGAATCGTCTGGGGACGATTTTTTGACAATTTTTGCATATTCTGGTTGGTATTAGTGGGATATGTTTTATGTTTCGTCCCTAATCCGCCAGTAGGGGGACGTGCCCGACCTAAAGCTAGCGCAACCCCTCAATCGGTACAGATGCCACTATATTGTGCTCCTGGTGAGCATCGCCGTGAGTGCAAAACACAACTTATTTACGCACGCGTCCGTGGCACCAAGAGGGTCGTCGACCCATCGAGTTTATGCGTCTGCGTCCCTGGTAGGTCTGGCACGCGAAATCGCTTGGGGATTCTAGCTTGGGGTGATGTGGTTTGGCATCCTGCTTGCTTAGTGTTCTATTTCGCTTCTTCAACAAGTGCGCTACGCTTTGTAACGCATCAAGTACTGCGCTGGCATCTCGATTCAGATTTCCTGTACGTTTCCGCGTCGCCGAACGCAAGCGTGCGAAATGGCACGAGGGAGCCGATGGCCGTCGTTCCAAATCTCGAGCGCTGTTGACGGCAACGCGAACATGTTTGGTGGAGGTACCGCTGCCAGCTACGGCATCGCTGAAGACCCCCCCAATGGCTTGCCAATGGCAGGTGCCGGACTCGTGCGCTGGTGTGTCCGCCACCGTGCCGCTGGGCACGGGATGGGCGTGTCCTCAGGTCCTGGGCCCAATCCTCTAAGACTCAATCCTCACTCCTGAGGAGTCTCGTAGGGGCCCGGAGCCCAAATTCTCAAATCTCTCGGGCCTTCACGCGCTCGGAGGTCCCCAGCCACGACGGCCCCTCGGGTCGCAAGCCCATCGGTGCAACACCCTGAGGCCCTGGTCGTCCGGCCTTTTGCCCCAGGCCCACCCGCTGGCGGCTTGCCCCGCGGCAGTTCCTCGCTGTCCTCTCCTCGACGGCAAATGCTGCACGCACTTCTCCCCGCCCTCGCTCGGACGTCCGCTTCCCGTGCACCTTTCTCGACCTCGTGCGTGTTTATTTCTCGCGGCATGTTCCAGGATGCGCCTCGATGGTCCCCGCCGAGCAAAAGTGCACCCGTCCGAGCGGTGCCGAGCTCCTGGCTGTACGCCAGCATAGCCGAGGCCGCCTCTGCGCGCGCCCGCCCTCCACCGCTTCTCGGTGGAGGTCGGGCCTCTTTCTCACCCCCGTCTCCCGGCCATCTCTCCTCCTCCTCTTTCTCCTCTTGTATGGGCAAAGCTATACCATACCGCGCCTCCTCCTCCTCCTCCTCCTCCTCCTCCTCCTTCCCCCTCCGCCTCCTCTCCCTCCTCCCTCTTCTCCGCGGCAGGAGGAGGAGGAGGAGGAGGAGGAGGAGGAGGAGAGGAGAGGAGGAGGAGGAGGAGGAGGAGGAGGAGGAGGAGGAGGAGGAGGAGGAGGAGGAGGAGGAGGAGGAGGAGGAGGAGGAGGAGGAGGAGGTGCGCGTCTCTACTCTCTACCCCGCGACGGCCCAGGAGGCTCCTCGATCGGGCGCGGCCTGGCCGACACCCCGCAGACCCTCCCCTTCCCTTTGGCGTCATTCTTCGCCCTTCGGGCTGCCCTCCTGCCGCATGCGCGCGTCTCGGGGCGAGCCCATGGGGGCGTCACGGCAGGGGACGTTTTGCTCTAGGGGGTCGGTTAGGCTTAGGTCGAGCAAGTCCCTTTACGGGCGGATTTTGGGCGAAAACTTGAAAGTGCTCCGAAATAGTCAAAAAGGTAAAATAATAATTTTAAGAAATCGTCCCCAGACTATGTTTGACTATTTTGGAATATTTCCCTTGTAGAGGGACAGGCCCGACTTTAAGTTAGGCCGCCCCTGATTCGATGGCCCTCGCCGAGAAACAAAACGCACACGTGTGAGCGGTGCCATGCCTCCTCCTCCGCGGCCGGTCCATGCTGTTCTGCCCGCTCGGGTGCGGGCAGTCTCAGGCGCGGCCCGTCGGCTGTGCAGTCGCGCTCCCGTCTGCGGGCGCTGCGAACAGAAAAAATACTCTGGTCCTCCTCCTCCTCTTGCTCCTGCTGCTTCGCTTCGTCTTCATCCTCATCTTCCTCCTCCGAATCATCCTCCTCCCTCCTACTTCTGCTGATCGCTCCTTCCAATTTGTTTCCCTGTCCGCGCCGGTCACGAAAGGCCCGGTGCAAAACTGTGAGAAACGAGGGATGGCCGGAAGCAAACGTTTGTCCACACTAGGGGACGAGTCAGGAACAAATGGTATTTGCGAAAGGATGTGTTTCCAGCAAGAAACGAACGCGTCCTTCGCAAGCTTGTCGGTCTGCATCGCCACCCACAGCTTGCCAATGTACCTTGGCGTGTGCAGAGACTGCAAGGCGGCACTGAAACCATGCGTCACACCCTGCCAAACTTGGAAAAACCGGGATCCGTACATCAAAAATCTCGAACACATACAGTGGAGGTCAGTCCACACGAAACCTTCCACAAGAAACCCAACCCTGAGACCCCAGGACGTCCCTTGATTTCTGGTGTGGGAACGTCGCGCTCTTCATAGCACGACCATCTGTACCCAAGAAACCCAGGGCACCCTGGAGGCAAGCAGGGTGTTTCTTGGCATGGACCCCCACTGTAGTTCACCCTGCTGTCGTGGAGCAGGCTTCGAGACCTTGTGCCCCTTTCCCCCTTTTTCCTTCGCCATCCTTCCTGTCCTTCCTCCTCCTCGTGCCGAGAGAAGGCGCACAACATCGGCATCCAGGACCCCCAGACTCCCGGGCCGCACGACGCCCCGAGTGTCCAAGAGCAAACGCATTCCCAATCGAGACATCTGCCAGGAGCAAGACGAACTCAGGGCCCCCGAGACGGGAACACTGATAAACCAAGACATCGGCGCGTCCGAGAAAACTGCAGCTGTGGGTCGAGACAGGCTCCACGATTCGTCCCCTCCAGTGAGCGACGATCAACAACGGGTCTGACGCGAGATGACGTGGCGAACTTACGCCGCAGCTTACGCGGCAGCCAGCGCGGCACGCCACATTGAAAACGAGGGCGCTTACGCGCGACCGTGCGCGGGGAACGTACGCGCCAATGTCGGCGCAGTTGGAGCCGTTTTCTTTCGTCGCCCAGGTTGATTATTCAAAGCCCTTATTAGCAACATGCTGGCTTGGGCGGCCCTGAGCAGTGGAACGATGGACAGAGACGGGAGGAGGCGGAGAAGAATCCGCACCTCCGACGACCCAATATCCTGGCCTGAATCGCCGGCTCCTGGAACCTCCTCCCGCTTCCGCGGGGCTGGATGTTCAACCTGGCTTGTTCTGCGAATGCCGCTAGGAAAAAAACACGACAGGCTTAAGCAAATTTCTTGGATCGGCGCCAGGCCCCCGTCCCTGGCGCGCGGAGTGCGCCAGGGGGCCAGGGGGGTGACAAGACCGATCCGATTAATCCGCGAGAACCTCCATCACTATATATATATATATATGTCTAGGAAAACACATCGATATACACATATATGTATATATAGACATACGCAGGTATTTATACACATATATCCACACCACATTTATAATAATACACGTATACATGCATATTCATACACACTTATCCATCCATTCATCCATCCATCCATCCACCCATCCATACATACATACGTACATGCATTATATACACATAGATGCATTTTTCTCGTTCTGGTCCCCCCCCGTCCGACCCACCCGACCTGAGACGCTGCTGGCCTCGAATGTGGCCAAGAACGACTGGGCGCTCTTCTCGTCGCACCCGGACCATCCTCCGTCCCTCCTCCTCCGAGCTCGGAGCTGATGGCAATAGCTGCCACGTCCCCCCCAGGCCCGCGGAGGGGGGGGGGTATCAAAGTAGAGGTGCTGCAGTAGAACATAAGCACGAAGGACAAGAGGACCCACAGGGGGCGTGGAAACTGGGTCCCTGGCGGCCCCTTGGGGGGAGAACGTCGAGACAGCGAAGATCACCCAGCGACTAGCTAACCTACGGTTCGAAGGAAGATCCCCCTTCTCCTCCTCCTCTCCTCCTCCTCCTCCTCCTCCTCCTCCTCCTCCTCTTCCTGCTGCTACTGCTGCTGCTGCTGCTCCTCCTCCTCCTCCTCATCCCCCTCCCCCCCCTTCT